AATTTTTGATTTATTGTAGAGATGAGGTCTTGCCAAGTTGCCCAGGCTGGTCTCAAATCCTCAGGCTCAGGCAATCCACTCGCCTCGGCCTCCCAAAGTGCTGGGATTACAGGCTGAGCCACTGAGCCTGGCCTGTTTTGTTGTTTTTTTAATTGGAGTCTCACTTTGTCACCCAGACTGGAGTGCAATGGCATGCTCACAGGCACCTCAGCCTTGACCTGCTGGACTCAAGCAACCCTTCTGCTAGCTGGAACTACAGGCACGCACCACCACACCCAGCTAATTTTTTGATTAATTGTATAGATGAGGTCTCACCAAGTTCCCCAGGCTGGTCTCGAATCCGTGGGCTCAGGCAAACCTCTCACCTCAGCCTCCCAAAGTGCTGGGATTACAGGCTTGAGCCACCACATCCGGCCAGGATATAATTGTTAAGGAGACCATTCAAGATTAAATGTACCTGGCAGGGCACAGTGGCATGGACCTGTAGCCCCAGCTATTGGGGAGACTGAGGCAAGAGAATCACTTGAGCCCAAGAGTTCAAACCCAACCTGGGTAACATAGTGAGACATCCTCTCTAAATAAATAAATAATTAAAAGATTAAACAACCAGGTGTGGTGGCTTACACCTGTAATCCCAGCACTTTGGGAGACCAAGAAGAAAGGATTGCCTGAGTCCAGGGGTTGGAGACCAGTCTGGGCAACTTGATGAGACCTTGTCTCTACAATTAATCAAAAAATTAGTCAGATGTGGTGGTGCACGCCTGTAGTTCCAGCTGCCTCAAAGCTGAGGTAGAAGGATCACCTGACCCCAGCAGGTCAAGGCTGCAGTTGCTATGAGCATGCCACTGCGCTCTAGTCTGGGCAACATAGTCTGGGCAACAGAGTGAGACTCTGACTCAAAAAAAAAAAATGTACCCAATTTTATTTTATTAAAAAAAATAATTTTAGAGACAGGGTCTTACTCTGCCTCCCAGACTGTAGAGCAGTGGCACAATCAAAACTCACTGCAGCCTCAAACTTCTGGGCTCAAGGGATTCTCCTGCCTCAGCCTCCCAAGTAGCTGGGACTACAGGCATGCACCACCATGCCAAACTTTTAAAAATTACTTTTTTAGCCGGGCTCGGTGGCTCAGCCTGTAATCTCGTGCTTTGGGAAGCTGAGGTGGTGGATTGCCTGAGCCTGCGGGTTCGAGACCCGTCTGGGCAACTTGGTGAGACCTCATCTCTACAATAAATCAAAAAATCAGCCAGGCATGGTCGTGCATGCCTGTAATTCCAGCTACTTGGAAGGCTGAGGCAGAAAGATTGCCGGAGCCCAGCAGGTCGAGGCTGCGGTGGCCGGGAGCAGCCACTGCACTCCAATCTGAGCGACAGTGAGACTCCAACCCCCCAAAAAATAAATAAATAAAAGAATAAAATTACTTTAAAAAATCTTTATTTTATATTTATTTTTTAGAGACAGGGTTTTACTCTCTCACCAAGGCTAGAGTGCTGTGACACGATCATGGCTCACCACAACCTTGACCTCTTGGGTAGGACTACAAGCACACACCACCATGCCCAGCTAATTTTTTGTAGAAACGGGATCTTGCTTTGTTGCCCAGGCTGGTCTCGAACTCCTGGCCTCAAGGGATTCTTCCACCTTGGCATCCCAAAGTACTGGGATTACAGGTGTGAGCAACCACATTGAACCATATTTTCCAGTTTAAAAATGGGCAAAGAATCTGAAAAGACAATTCTCTAAGGAAGATATACAAATGGCCAATAAGTACATGAAAAGATGCTCAATTTCATTAATTAAATAGCCACCGGGAAATGTAAATCTAAACCATAAAGAACCACCACCACTGCAGACCCACTTGGATGGCCATTAAAAAAAAAGAAAATTGCAAACGTTACAAGGATGTGGAGGAATTCATACACTGTTGGTGAGAATTAAAAATATGGAAAACAGACTGGCAGTTCCTCAAAAGATTAAACATAAAGTTAAAATAAGACACAGCAATTTTCACCCTGGTTGTATAGCCAAGAGAACTGAAAACAACTTCCACTCAAAAATTTGTATACGTTACTCTCTGTACTCTAATTACTCTCTGTAACAACCCAAATAGTGTCGATAACCCCAGTGTCCATCAGCTGATGAGTGGATAAATAAAATGCAGTCTGTCCATACCATGGAATATTATTTGACCATAAAAAGGAATGAAGGACTGATTCATACTACAACATGGATGAACCATGAACACATTATGCCCAGTGAAAGAAGAAAGTCAGAAAGGACCATCTGTTATATAATTTCATTTATATGAAATGTACAGAATAGGCAAATCCATAGAGACAGAATGTGGATTCATGGATACAGGGGCTGAGGAGTGAGTATTTGGTTATTCAGTGTTTTGTTATTGTTTTTTTTTGTTTTTTTGAATTGGAGTTGGAGTCTCACTCCACCTCCCAGGCTGGAGTGCAGAGGCACGCTCACGGCCACCCCAGTGTTGACCTGCTGGGCTCCAGTGATTCTTCCACCTCAGTCTTCCAAAGTAGCCAGAACTACAGGAGTACACTACCACACCGGGCTAATTTTTTGATTTATTGTAAAGACAAGGTCTCACCATGTTGCCCAGGCTGGTTGTGAACCCATGGGCTCAGGCAATCCTCTCGCCTCAGCCTCCAAAAGTGCTGGGATTACAGGCTTGAGCCACTGCACTCAGCCAGGCGTGAGTATTTGAAGGAAATGGGGCGCAATTGCTAATGGGTATCGGATTTATTTGACAGATGATAAAATGTTCTAAAATTGATTGTGGTGATGTACTAAAAACTATTTATTTTATTGTTTTTTGAGTTGTGTCTCACTCTGTTGCCCAGGCTGGAGTACAGTGGCACAATCACAGCTCATAACAGTCTCGACCTCCTGGGCTCAAGTGATCCTTCCGCCTCAGCCTCCTGAGCAGCTGGGTGAGCCACCGCACCCTGCTAATTTTTTTATTTTTTTAGCAATGAGGTCTTGCTATGCTGCCTAGGTTGGTCTCAAACTACTGGGCTCAAGCAGTTCTCCCACCTCAGCCTCCCAAAATGCTGGGATTATAAGCATGAGCCACTGCATGACCAAATTGTTTACTTTAAATAGATGGCCTGTATAGGAATTATATATCGATAAAGCTGTTTTTAAAGAAAAGACTAGATGTATAAGCAAATTTTAAGGCTCCTGTATTTGTTACACAGCTCTCACACACTAAGTAATCCTTTCTGAGACATACAGCACAGTGTTTGTCTCACCACCCAGTGCAATTCTCACAGGACAGGACAGACACCAGCAGCTATTCCCACAGGATGAGACAGACACCAGTTAGAGGTTGAGGACCCATTCTAGTCATGTCCAGACCCAGAGGCTGTGACCTGAGGGCTGGAGACTGGGCAGAGCCTCTTCCAACAGGGAGTGTTAGGTCTCTCTTCTGGATACCTCAATTACTTGCTCACAGCCTGTCTTTGTTGCTGTTGGCAGTGATGTTTTACGATCTTGTTGAAAAATCCGCAAGGTTCATGCTTTCATAGAACAATTAGAACAGCGTGTGTAGTGTAGCTGATCTCCTGTGCTTGACTGCAGTTACAAACTGTCCGGTGCTGTTCCCGATAGAATTTCTCCTTGGCTCCCGGTGGTTGGAGACTGGGAACATGCCTTCACCCTTACCCCTTCCCAACCTCCTTACTATCAATTGTCCTGCCAGACCCTGTGCCATGCTTAACACTACAAACCTTCTCCCCTGAGGCCAGGTGAAACTCACCAAAGCATTGGTAAAGGTAGAAAGCCAAGGCGTCTGCTGACCTAGTGGGAGGGTGGGCCTTGCCCTTCCCAAAGCTTCCTCTTTCCTGTGCTGTTAACATCTCCGGGGTACAATATCATGTGGTAGTTCCCCAATTGCTGTCCTCTGAAGTGCAGCAAGGCCCGGCCTACAAGGCTAGAAGCTGTAGCTTCCAGGAGAGGAGATAATAGGGAAAGGAAGAAGATCCCATGGTCATCTTCCTCTCAAGGTTGTACAACATTTTGGCTTCCCTGGGCTACATCAAGTAAAGAGGAACTGTCTTGGGCTGCACATAATGTTATAATATAGTTAGTGTATATATATAGTAAGTCTTCCTTTTTTATTTTTTTATTATAAAGTTTAGAAAAATGAGAATATAAAACTAGTGGGAAATTTAACCTTGTTTTTGTAAAACTAATCTAACAATGTCTGGTTAGATGGAAGTGGTCACCATTCTTGGTGCATTCTCAAGGTGCTCATCAAAAATATGTGTTCAAATTTTGCTCTTCATGTGCTTCATAATTGAAAAAAAATCTGCTCACAAATATATGTGCTGAGAAAAAGTGATGTCATGAATAAGGCATGATTGTGAACTTCAAAAATGGAGCTACACATGGGATCACAAAGAAAATAAATGCTAAAAAACACGTGATGTTAAAAGATTTGGGACCAGGCACGGTGGCTCAAGCCTGTAATCTCAGCACTTTGGGAAGCTGAGGTGAGAGGACTGCCTAAGCCCACAGGTTCGAGACCAGTCTGGGCAACTTGGTGAAACCTCATCTCTACAATAAATAATAATAAAAAAATTAGCCGGGCATGGTAGCGTGTGCCTATTGTTCCAGCTGCTTGGAAGGCTGAGACTGAAGGATTGCCTGAGCCCAGCGGGTCAACGCTACTGCACTCCAGCCTGGGCCATGGAGTGAGACTCCAACTCAAAAAAAATAAAAGATTTTGTGGGGCCACATGACTAGCTGTCTTGGGTCAGGTTGGACACCCCTGGTCTCCATCCTCTCAGTTTCTCCTCTCCACCTCCCATAGCAGCACTGGCCATGCTGCCTGGCTCTCTGCTGACTGTGTAAATGTTTTTGGCCTCCCCAAAAAGATTATAAGACATCTAAATACAGGACGCATAACTTATTTTTCTTGGTATCTTTCACAAAAATGTGGACTCATGGAATAGTAGACAAAATAACAGCATCCTTGGGTTGTCCTGATTAACACGTCTATGCCAGTCATAACTCAATATTCATGAGAATTTTAAAGATCCGATCTAAGAAAGAATGCTAATATGAATAAAACCATTCTCAGTCATTCTTGGTGGGGTTGTATTCTCTAAGTAAAAGACAAAGAATGAGCGCTAAATTGTTTTAAGAACGCTTGTTGTTTAAATTATAATCTGGCCGGGCTCGGTGGCTTAGTCTGTAATCCTGTGCTTTGGGTGGCCGAGGTGAGGGGATTGCCTGAGCCCACGGGTTCGAGACCCGTCTGGGCAACTTGGCGAGACCTCACCTCTACAATAAATCAAAAAATTTGCCAGGCGTGGTAGCGTGCGCCTGTAATTCCGGCTACTTGGAAGGCTGAGGCGGAAGGATCACTGGAGCCCAGCAGGTGGAGGCTGCAGTGGCTGGGAGTGGCCACTGCACTCCAGTCTGGGCAACTGAGTGAGACTCCAACTCAAAAAAAAAAATTCTAATCTTCTTCAGAAACTAATAAATTTCACCTGTCACACCTGAATTAAAAAATAAAAAAGAATACGTCCCCTAACGATGTCCACATCCTGGTCCCCAGAAACTGTGAATACATGTCTTTATGTGACAAAAGGAACTTTGCAGGTGAGTTTGCAGATTGAGTGGAGGATCTTGAGATGAAGAGATGATCATGGGTTATTCAGATGGGCCCAGTACCATCCCAAGGATTCACAGGAGAGGGGGAAGGAGGCTCAGAGTCAGAGAAAGAAACGTGACCGCAGGAACAGAGTTCAGAGTGTTGCAGGACCTCAAACCAAGGAATTGGGGCAGCCGTTAGAAGCTGGAAAAGGCAAGGTAACACATTCTCCTACAGAGCTTCCAGAAAGAATGCAGCCTTGCCAACCCATTTTGGACTTCTGACCTCCAGAGCTGTAAGAGAATAAACAAATTCACATGTATCTTCCTCCTCCTCATCATGGTGAATGTTGACAGTGTTCACTGATACAATTCTTACTCAACTGAATAAATGCAGAGTATAGACAATTATTACTCCCACTTTATAGATGAAGAAACTGAGGCTCAGAGATGTTACATAATGGAAGCATTTTTACTTTTTTTTTTTTTTTTTTCAGTTGGAGTCTCACTCTGTCACCCAGACTGGAGTGCAGTGACCGCTCCCGGCCACCGCAGCCTCGACCTGCTGGGCTCTGGCAATCCTTCTGCCTCAGCCTTCCAAGTAGCTGGAATTACAGATGCATGCTACCACACCCGGCAAGGCTGTTCTTAAACCCCTTGGCTCAGGCAATCCTCTCGCCAGGTGTGGCGGCTTACTCCTGTAGTTCCAACTACTTGGAAGACTGAGGCAGAAAGATCATCTGAGCCCAGCAGGTAACGGCTACAGTGAGCTGTGATCATGCCACTGCCCTCCGGCCTAGGCAACAGAGTGAGACTCCAATTCAAAAAAAAAAAGGAGGCTCCACTCCCACAAGAACCCAGGTAACAATCTGTTTTAGGTTTTGTGTGTGTTTTATTTTATTTGTCTGTTTGTCTGTTTGTTTGTTTTTTGAGTTGAAGTCTCCTCTGTCACCCAGGCCTGAGGGCAGTGGCACAATCACGGCTCACCGCAGCCTCTGCCTTCTGCGCTCAAGGGATTCTCCCACCTCAGCCTCCTGAGTAGCTGGCACTACAGGCGCACACCACCACACTCAGCTAATTTTTCTTTTTTAATTTTTTGTAGAGACAAGGTGTGGCCTAGGCTGGTCTCAAACTCCTTCACTCAAGCAATTCTCCCACCTTGGCCTCCAAAAGTGCTAGAGTTATAGATGTGAACCACCGTGCCCAGCTGCTGCTGTCATGATAAAGTACAGGGCTTTAAAACCATAATCTGCTCAAGAAGTGCAAGCGAGGGTCCCCCCACTTGAGTCCTTGGGGGCTTGTGATGCACTACCCTTTCTGAAACCTTCTTGGTTCTCATCCTTGCTGTCTGGGTGGGAAGCAGGATGAAAGGAGTTGAAGTCTTGGGGTGGGCTTTCCTGATGAAGGCTCTCAGTGTGGGATATGAGAATGAAATGCTTTTTTACCAGAGTAGAAAATGATAGCTAGCCGGGCTCGGTGGCTCAGCCTGTAATCCTGCGCTTTGGGAGGCTGAGGTGAGTGGATTGCCTGAGCCCGCGGGTTCGAGACCTGCCTGGGCAGCGAAACCTCATCTCTACAATAAATAAAAAAGTCAGCCGGGTGTGGTAGTGCATGCCTGTAATTCTGGCTACTTGGAAGGCTGAGGCGGAAGGATCTCCGGAGCCCAGCAGATCGAGGCTGCATTGGCCGGGAGCGGCCACTGCACTCCAGTCTGGGCGACAGAGTGAGACTCCAACTCAAAAAATAAAAGAAAATGATAACTGGGTCAAAGGCAGTAAGGCTGTCCCTGTTTGTACCTGGCTGATGTCAGAGGCCTCTTTGAGACCACAGGAGAGTAGAATGAGCTCTGTTCTTTGCATCGATTGGCCATGCAGGCATGGCTGTGAGCCCCAAGGCATGAGCATCTGGTAGACCAGACATGTTTCTCTCCCTCCTTGTCTCCTTTCTTCTGCAAAGCCACCTTATAAGAGGTTTTGATTTTTTTTCTTAAGTTGACATATTTCATTTCTTGATAACATAAGAGTCTCTTTTCCTTGAAACTCAGAGACATGAGAGACAGATTGTTGGGGGTGGTTAAAATATTCTGAAACTGCCAGGTGTGGTGATTCACGTTCGTAATCCCAGCACTTTGGGAGGTGGAAGTGAGAATTTCCTGAGTCTGAGGGTTCAAGACCAGCCTGGGTAACTTGGCAAGACCTCGTCTCTATAATAAATAAAAAAAAATTAGCCAGTTGTGGTGGCGCACACCTGTAGTTCCAGCTATTTGGAAGGCTGAAGTGGAAGGATCTCCTGAGCACAGCAGGTCGAGGCTGCAGTGGCCATGAGCATGTCACTGTGCTCTAGCCTGGATGATAGAGTGAGACTCTGACTCAAAAAAAAAAAGAAAATATTCTGAAACTAGATTGTGGTGAGGGTTGTACAACATTGTGAATGAATTCAATGTCACACATGGTAAATTATATGTTATGTGTATTTTACCACAACTAAAAAAAAAATACTAAACACACCACAAAAAAATAAGCTAGTGAGATGGAGATAGTATTTAGCTTGATTTAATAAATTCCTTAATGTGTGTGTGTATATATATATATATATATACACACACACACACACACACACACACACACACACACACACACACACACACACAACATTGTACCCCATAAATAAATACAAGTATCATTTGTTAATTAAAAATTAAACTGAAAGCCGGGCTCGGTGGCTCAGCCCGTAATCCCGCACCTTTGGGAGACTGAGGTGAGTGGATTGCCTGAGCCTGGGCATGGTGGCTCGTGCCTGTAATCCCACCACATTGGGAGGTCAAGGTAGGATAGTTTGAGCCCAGAAATTTAAGACCAGCCTGGGCAACATAGCAAGATCTTGTCTCTACAAAAAAAATTAGCCAGGCATGGCGGTGTGTGTCTGTAATCCCAGTTATTTAGGAGAGTGAGGTGGAAGGATCACTTGAGCCCAGGAGGTCAAGGCAGCGGTGAGGCATGATTATGCCACTGGACTTCAGTCTGGGCAACAAGTGAGACCCGGGACACAAATATATGTAAAGAAAACAGCATCTAAGTCGGCAAACCCATCTCTTATAAGCAAAGACAAGTGAGAGCAGCCCATCCTCAAAGCCTTCCTTCCTGTCCTTCCAGGGTGCTTGTATGGCCAGTTTCGGGGTGAAATGAGAAAACAAGGATACTCAAGCAAGTTCATCCAGAAGCTAATTGATCCTGGCTGAAAGGCTGTCCCTTTTCTGAAATGTTATTTGTATTTCTCTGCTCTTTCTTTTATGAGGGGATGCTGAGAACAGATGGGAGGTTTTAATTCGGCAAAATGTAAAGTTGACTTTGTCTTTCACCCAACATTTGGTGAAATGTGCTGATCTGTGAAATTCTAAATTCTGTTGAGACACTGGCCTGTGTGTGACTAAGAGCAGCCTGTGGGCAGTGAAGGGAGAGGACAAACCATTCATGGGGTTACACAGGGGGACAACAGCACTATGCCTCTCCTCCCATTGCTTCCATGATGGGGCATGTTAACATTCCAAAAAGTAAAGAGAGCAACACAATAAGCCATCACCCACCATCACTGCCTGGGCTCAGCTCGCTTTATTTTTTCCCTCTCTCTTCTGCTGGATTGTTGAGAAGCAAAGTGCAGACATCAACTCATTTCAACTGTAAATATTTCAGTACATATCTCTCTCTCTCTCTCTCTCTTTTTTTTTTTTTTTTGTTGTTGTTGTAGGAATCTCATTCTGTTGCCCAGGATGGAGTGCAAGTGGCACAATCACAGCTACCATAGCCTCGACCTGCTGAGCTCAGGCAATCCTTTTGCCTCAGCCTTCCAACCACAGGTGCATGCCACCACACCCAGGTAATTTTTTTATTTATTGTAGAGATGAGGTCTCGCCAAGTTGCCCAAGTTTGTCTTGAACTTGTGGGCTCAGGCAATCCTCTTGCCTTGGTCACCCAAAGTGCTTGGATTACAGGTGTGAGCCCCTGCACCCAGCTCTGGCTAATTTTTTGTAGAGATGAGGTCTTAGTATGTTGCCTAGGCTGCTCTCAAACTCTTGACTCAAGCAATCCTCCCCCCTCGGTCTCCTAAACTACTGGGATTACAGGCATGAGTCACTGCACCTGGCCCATATTTTATTTGTTTTGTTTTTTGCTTTTGTTTTGAGTCAGAGTCTCACTCTGGCACCCAGGCTGGAGTGCAGTGGCACAATCACGGCTACCACAGCCTCAACCTGCTGGACTCAGCCGATACTTCGGCCTCAAGCCTTCCAAGTAGCTGGAACTACAGGCACACACCACCATGCTTAACTAATTTATTTTATTTCATTTTTGTAGATACAAGGTCTCAACATGTTGTCCAGGCTAGTCTTAAACGCCTGGACTAAGGCAATTTTCTCACCTCTGCCTCCCAAAGTGCTGGGATTACAGACATGGGCCACTGTACCTGGCCCAATAATTTCGTTGTTTTTTTTTTTTGAGTTGGAGTCTCACGCTGTAGACTGGAGTGCAATGGCACGCTCCCAGCCACCACAGCCTCGACCTGCTGGGCTTCGGCAATCCTTCCGCCTCAGCCTTCCAAGTAGCTGGAACTACAGGCGTGCACTACCACACCTGGCTAATTTTTTTTTTATTTATTGTAGAGATGAGGTCTCGCCAAGTTGCCCAGGCTGGTCTCGAACCCGCAGGCTCAGGCAATCCACTCACCTCAGCCTCCCAAAGCGTGGGATACAGGCTGAGCCACTAAGCCCAGCTCCAATAATTTCTTAATATCACAAACTATCCTGTTAGGGATCACATTTCCCTGTTTTTTCTCTCTCTCTTTCTCTCTCTCTCATTTGTTCAAATCATCAAATCAGGATCCAAATAAGATTTGTACATTGCAGTGAGTTGATACATTTATTAAATCTCTTTTAATCTATAGACTCTGTCTCCATTCCTGTTTCCCCAGTTTCCCATTTATTTGTTTAAGATGTAGGTTGCATGTCGTAGGGTTCCCGCTGTGAAGTCATTTTAAACACCCCACAGTCCTCTGTATTTCCTATGCGTTAGTAATTGTATCTACAGGTTTGTTTGTATTTAGGTCCAATTATTTTTTGTCACAAAGTATCTGAGAAGTGGTGTTGTATGTGTGTTCTCACAGACACAGAGTGATGGGTTATCTTTCCATGACATTGATGTCTGGTGTCCCAGTGCAGAAATTCATTAGAAGTTCTTCTATGGCCGGGCATGGTGGCTCAAGCCTGTAATCACAGCACTATGGAAGGCCAAGACAAGAGGATTGCCTGAGCTCAGGGGTTCGACACTAGCCTGGGCAAATTGGCAAGACCTCATCCCTACAATAAATCAAAAAAGTTAGCGGGGCGTGGTAGCGTGCACCTGTTGTTCTGGCCACTTGGAAGGCTGAGACGGAAGGATTGCCTGAGTCCAGTAGGTTAAGACTCAGTGGCCTCAAAAAACAAAAAAAGATCCTTCACCCAATAAGACCCCTCATGCCCATTTATAGTCAACTTCATTCCCATCCCAACATCCTAAGCCCCAGGCAGCCACTCACCTACTTTCCGTCTCTGTGGATTTGTCTTTTCTGAATATTTCATACAGAAAGACTCATACAATGTGGTTTTTTTTGTGACTGGCTCCTTTTACTTAGCAAGTTTCCAAGGTTCATTCATGTTGTTAGCTTGTATCATCAGCTCTATCAGTTCTTTATTCCTTTTTTGTTGTTTGCTCAGTAGTATTACTTTTTTTTTAAATTCAGCGTCTCACTCTGTTGCACAGGCTGGAGTGCAGTGGCACGCTCATGGCCACCTCACCTTGACCTGCTGGACTCAGGTGACCCTTCCGCCAAGTTGCCCATGGGTTCAGGCAATCCTTTCACCTCGGCCTCCCAAAGTGCTGGGATTATAGGCATGAACCATCATGCCCAGCTCCATCAGTATTTATTTGGAAGTTTTTAGAAGTTTGGATCACGATTTGCAGAGGAAATGTCCCAAGTTGTGGCAAACTGGTGACTGATTCTTCTGCCACAACAACACACCTGCCTACACCAAACTGAGTGTTCAAAAAGACATGACCCCCCCAATGCCCCATCCTTCCTATTCACCAGATCTTGCCTTGAGTGACTTCCCGTGCCCCCCCGCCCCCGTTGCACTTCATTTCCTTTTCTGCACTGTCCTCACTTCTCATTCCTTGAGGTCTCTGCTGAGTCAATTGCTTCCTTATGCTGAATTTTGTTGTTGTTGCTGTTGTTATTTGAGTTGGAGTCAGTCTCTGTTGCCCAGGCTGGTGTGCAGTGACATGTTCACGGCCACTGCAGCCTCAACCTGCTGGGTTCTTTTTTTTTTTTTAAGCATGATTTATTGAGAGGACAGAAAAACTCCCACAGTGGGAGGGGACCCAAAGGGGTTATCAAACCTGCTGGCTTCTTACGATCCTTTGGGAGGTCATGGTGAGGGAATTGCCTGAGCCCACAGATTTGAGAACAGCCTGGGCAACTTGGTGAGAGCTCATCTCTACAATAAATCAAAAATTTAGCCGGTTGTGGTAGCGCACATCTATAGTTCCAGCTGCTTGGAAGGCTGAGGCAGAAGGATCGCCAGGGTCCAGCAGGTCGAGGCTACAGTGGCCATGAGCATGCCACTGCACTCCAGCCTGGGCGACAGTGAGACTCCAACTCAAAGCAAACAAACAAAAAACAGTGGATTCCTACAACACTTACTAGCAGGGGAAGCCTGTACTACAAGGGGCCTGCCTTCCAAAAGATAAATCCTTTTTCTTTGTTCCCCTTGTGTTAAGAAAATAGTATGTAATTATATTGGTTTCCTAGGCTAATCTGATTAAGTACTACAAAATAGATGGCTTAAAACAACAGAAATGTATCATCTCAGAGTTCTGAAGTTTAGAAGTCTGAAATCAAGGTGTCAGCAGGGTCACCCTCCCTCTGAAACCTACTAGAGAGACTCCTTTCGTGCCTTATCCTAGCTTCTGGTGACTTGTTGGCAATCTTTGGCATTCCTCAGCTTGCAGCACTTCAATCTCTGACTCCATTGTCATATGGTATTCTTCCTTTGTGTCTGTCTTCACATGGTGTTTTCCTCCCCCA